GTGCCAGCCTCCAGCACGGACACCTCACATCTCACACACCAATTGCAGCCAAACTTCTGGGGCCCCCAGACTTGGTCCCCTGGTCTCAAATACCCATTCCTGATGGCATTTTTACTTTCTTCAGAAAAGATGAAGGCTTCGTGTGTGTCGCCTTCCAGTTCTGACTGATTTGTTGATTAAACGTTTGTGGGCTCAGAAATCTTGTCACTGATCATGGAGGTTCCACATAATTTCATCTGTAGGCTCACAGATTTTAATACAGTTCACTGCTATAGAGGTGTATCTACAAATGTTTAGGATTTTTCTAAATTTTATTTTAAAAATTTAGAAATCAATGTCTATCTACACTGAAGTCAACACTAGTTTCCCAGTAATTAAATCAAGAATAGCTCTGATTTCTAATCCCTCAATTCCTGACACATATAATGGTTTAACTGCTTTGATTCCTTACAGCTGCGAACTGTTTTGCTTACTTATCAATTCCTGTTTTGGTATACTCACAGATAATAGAACTACAACAACATTGCTGTTTTCACAAGTCTAGACAAATCCCTGGTGAGCTGGGAATGAAACAAATTCTTTCTACACATATTATCTTCTCTTGAAAGTGGGACATTTGCATCAATTATTTTTGTTTTAAAAGCATGTCTTTATACCTCCCTAGAGAAGAATAAAAATTTTTCTCCATGGATTTGAATACTTACAAGAACATTAAAGAAATTAATATTGCCTTTTTTTGAGAAGTCTGGAAGTTTGACAATCTACAATTTACAGAAACTCTGCATTGCCCAGTTGGTCTGGGTATAAATTACATTTCACAATGGCACCATCTGCTGGGAGATGAGCAAGACAGTGAAGCACACTGGGCTTCCCTCACTGCCCCCTTTCACAATTAAACCATTGTTTGATTTTGATATCCAGCACCTCCTCCAAATAGCAACATAAATCAAACCTGTAGGTTTAATTAAATTAATTAAAGGAACCAGAAGGCTGATAATGACAGAATATCACTGAGGCTTTCACCCTGGAACTTCTACTTTTAATACAACAGGAGCTAATTATTACTATTTGGTTTTATGCTTCCTCACTGATACAGTGCAACACTGGAAAGAGCACTAGAAATCTACTTGATTTGTATTTCACACTGCACACATTTCCATGTACCTTAGAAATTCTTTCAGAAAAATAAGAGAAATTCCTTCTTTCGAGATGTGAAATCAATTGATGATTACAATATGATCATGGTCTGTGGGAACACCTGGAACTTTCTCTGGGCCAGTAATGTGTGACTGATTCAGCTCCTCAAGGACATTTTAGCTGCTGTCCACTACTGGATGAACAAGTTCCTCAGTTCAGAAACACACATCACACCCTGTCACTGTCACACGTGCCCTTTACTGGCAATGGACCAGGATTTGTTTAACATCCAGCATTTCCAGATGGAGCTGGAAAACAGCCTCAAGCTCTGCAGCAATATCCATCAGAGTATCAGCAGTGACAGAGTAGAGGTCAGTAACTTCTGGCTGCAGAGGGAATTAATCCTGGAAATATTTTTCCTTCTCTTACCATTATTTTAATACTGCTTGATGATTCCACAAGCATTATTCCACATCAGTTTCATTAGTAAAATTCAGTTGGTAGTGACTCAATGAGCTGATACAAGTTGACAGAAAATCTTTCAGCAGCCTGTGCAAACCAAGAGGCAGAATTGATTTACTCCTGATCTGCTGCAGGTGCCCACACACAGCCAGCCATTGCTGCTGCTCATATAACTGATTTATGGCTGCACAGTGGGGCAGATACTCCTCAGATACACCTCAGAGTACACCAAGAGAGGCTTGAAAAAGGCTGGAAAATAGATATCATCAGTCCTGGAATATGTGTTCTTTTTTAAAAAGTTTTTTCATTAAATAAGGTAAGTATTGGGGGAGGCAGGGGAGAAGTTTAACTTTCATCAGAGGTTAGGAACCAAAAAAATGTTAAAATTACACCTGTGAGTAAACTGAGTGATTAAGCTAACAGAGCACTCTATTCTGCACTCTTACAGCAATTCCTGAAAACATTTGTCTGGAACACTTTTCATGCAGTGATGTTTGAATGTATCCCAAGAGAAATGCATTAGTAATCCCAGTTTTCGGTATTTCATAATCTTTTTCTTTCTTTTTCTGTTGTTGGGAGATGATTTGTAGGACAGACATACCATTTAAAAATATTTAATCTTTGGGGGATTTAGGAGCTGTTAGGTTTATTAAATTGGGTACCCAAAAGTTCCTTTCACCTGCTGACATGTTCTTTGCAATCTGCAATCAATTGAAAAGCATTCACTACGTCAAAATTCTCATTCATAACAGAATAAATTTAAAGTTACCTTAAATATGCATAGAAAAGAGATCCTTTCCTCTTCTTCTCTTATTTGTCCTCCAGAAAAACAATTCTTTCACAATCAAACACCATATTTGAAATAAACAGCAGACTTGCCCCCACAGCCTTTTTGAGTAGGAATGTGAAAATCCAGTATTGAGTAACCTGCCTATATAAGTAAAACCTTTTTGCAGACAAAACAGAAGCCTTGATTTAATTCATCACCAGACATAATTGTCAGTCCATGTGATTTCTGGCAAACCTTCTGCAGACAACTAAATGCTCCTCCAGAATGCACGACCTCTCAGGATGAGAAACTGGGACTGGGAATAACAATATATAATAATTCTTATAATTTTGCTGAGACACACACATTTCTCGGAAGCCTGTGACAGAACAGACAGTGTGATGCCATCACAGCCTTACTACAGAACACTATCCCAGCATTTTCATCCTCAAGTTAAAGAACTGACCTTGTGAATGAGAGCACAGTTTGGCTTATTCCCTTCCACCTGCTCACTTGAGGCAGAATATTGTCACAGCACCAAGTGATACATATTTCCCTTTCTGATGTTTTAACTTACTTGTTTTGGTTGGATGACTTCTGTCCTGTTCTGCCATGTTCTGATGCTCATTAATCTTTTTCAAATTTATCCAGTTCTCTCTACATGTACAACCACATTAATTCCAAGCAGAAAATTTGCAAATCTAATAAAAAGGGAAGTCCAAGCTCACACAGTACCTTACTGCTGCTATAAAACTCTGTATACATGCTGAAAAAACCAACATCCTCTTAGTCCAAAGGCAATATCCAGTTCTGCCTGAAAACACTCCAGATGGAAGAAAACTTCTCACTTCCAAACAGAAACCAGGGGCTTGGACCAGCACTTGTCTTCCCTGGACACTCAGGCTGAGCATCCTGCGGGAGCCTGCACACCATGAAAGCTGCTATACATGAGAGATTCTGGTGAGACCTAAATGTTTATTTTTTAGAAGGTATGGCTAAATTCACAGCTCCTTTGCTTTACTATTCCCCTTTACCCACACAGCTTCTTAGAAAAAGCATTGGGTTGCAGGTGAGCACCAGCAGCCAGGGCTCCTGAGGGCTGTTTGTGAAGGTTTCTGACAAGAGCAGGCTCCCACAACAGCAAAATGCACAAACAGCCCCATCCTCCCTGCCACAGCTGCATTTTCACACGTGCTTCCTGACAGCTGGGAAAAGATGTTCTGCTCTTGTGGTTTGTTGACAGCGTTTCCACATCAGAAACATTTCTGAGAGGAGGGTGGAGACTGTCTAAAAAGAAATTTTGAAAGAAAACAAATCCAAACAAGTAAACCTCCTCCAAAATTTAAAAAATGAGGAGGAAGGAAGTGTACACAACGTTCTGTGAGGAAATTTTGCAATGCTGCAACATCCAAGGATTGGAGAGTGATTCTGCATGACCCAGGGAAGGGCTGCAGGGCTTGTTTTGCTGCCTTCAGTAAGTGGAAAGAAAGAAATAAGAAATAAAACAAGGACTGCTATTAAGTAATTTTTTGTGTAAGCAATTGTACAACAGGGCCTGGAGTCCTGCAGAAGGCATTGCCCGTGCATAGCTGACTTTGATTTACTTCACCCAGAGGAAAAAACATCTGTTTGCCGAGCCTGTCATTATGTAGCTTTGTATTACTGATTACTTCATCATACTAGTCATCAGGTTTGTTTATGCAGTACTGTTGAACTCAAATTCTTTATGAGATCTGTACATTCTAATACAAGATCTCACTTCATTATAGCTTAATATTTGAAGCTCGACTAAATATTTTCTTAACAAGCTGGCTAGCTATAAATACTTATTATCATCTTAAAACTTCTATAGATTTTAGACTTTTTTAGACTGTTTTTTTAGAAATTATATTGCTGCTACAAACACACTCAGTGCCACCTACTTCCTTAGTCTCAGCTATATTATCACTTGCCCTATCTCTAGCAAATATATGTCTCTTTGATATGGATCAAAACAGAACAGAACAGAACACTGTTCCCAGAACAGTGCTGGAAAAACTACTCAAAAGGAGGAAGGTGGGGGCTGGTCTTTCCTACCAAGCAACAAGTGACAAGACAAGAGGAATCAGCCTCAAGGTGCACTGGAGGTCGTTTAGATTGGATATTAGGAAAAATTTCTTCATGGAAAAGGTTAGACATTGGCACAGTTTGCCCTGGGAAGTGGTGGAATCACCTGGAGGGATTTAAACACACACAGATGTGGCACTTGGGGACAGGGTTTAGTGGCTGACCTGGCAGTGCTGGGGGAATGGTTGAACTCAATGCTCTTACAGGCCTTTTCCACCCTCAGTGACTCCCTGGTTCTGAACCACAGGGCAGGATGGCTCTACCACACAACCCACAGGAGAAACTGCTGCTCATGTCAGACATGTCTCAGGACAGCTGGACACAACATCCACCTGTGTCTCAAACTGCTGCTCACAACATCCACCTGTGTCCAACTGCTGCTCCCCACCCCACTGCTCTTCTCCCTGCCATAAGCTGAATGTATGTTAAATATGACAAAATTCTCCACAGAAACATGAATAAAGATTAGCACTGATTGGCACAGTTTCCATATTTAGAACTTCCTCAAGTCCTAGGGCCACTCCTCCATCTCCTTCAGAAGAAATATCTCCGCCATGTAACTCCACCAGCTCTCTTGCCCAGAATGCAGAAAATGCATTTTCTTGAAATTCTGCTGTTTTCCTACTGTAAGCTAAGGACATGTTTCTTTCATACTACAAATCTTTCTAAAGCAGAACCATTGTTTCTTATCTGAAAGATTTTCTTTTTCTTCTCTTAGTTCAAATGTCTCAGCAGATACAGAAAACTACTGCAAATGAAAAAGGTAGGTTCTCTTCTTGATTCTGAGGTATGTGCTGAGGTTGACTGTTAGCCAAAGGGGGAGGAATTTAAAAATGTCCAAAAGTTTCATGCTAAATTAAATCTTTTGCCTCTCTGTGCAGTGAATCAGTTTAAAAGTTTCTATACAAAGTTAACTATCTCTTTGCTGACCTGTATATAAAGTCAAAATTGCTTTAACTTGTTACAACACTTTCTCCCCCACGGAAATGTTGTAATTTATTTTAGTCATTATTAGTTCATAATTTCCTATGGAAAGACAGGTTTTTATTGCAAAATCATTTGTATAAGATCATGGAAGGAAACAAATTTGAGAGATAATCAAGGTCCTTACTGCTATTATTCATATGTTCAATCTACTTACACAAGGTTAGTTTTGTGTGTTAATAGACAGCCACAAATAAAATACTGCTTTTGCTTTCAGGTTCACATGCTACCTCTCAACTAATATATAAGGTTACTTTCTCCTACAATTAGTACGCCACAATATTTGAGTTAATCTTTTATACTTCTATTATTTTAACTGCTGCTGTAGTTCAAAGTTATTGTTGATGGCTCATCTGAACACATCAGTGGACTTTTTGTGGCTGTGCCTCTTGCACAAATACAGGCACTTTTCATCATGTGTGAAGCTGCATTCTGGTTTTGAAAAGTAATTGAGCTGCCTGCTATCAGAGGTGGAAAAAGTATAATGGCCCATTTCAACACAAATAAGCATAGCTTGGTTGTCAACGTATTTTGGGAAAAATCTGGAGCTTTCTTGGGTCATAGGTGGAGTCAACTCACTCAGAAGTTTTTTCTTTCCAGAGATGGTGTCCAATCCCAAGCTTGTACTGGTTCAGGGGACTTTGAATGTGGTGATGAAGCAGAATGTTACCCTCTCCTGCCTCTCTGAGCCTGGATCTCCACCTGTTAGATATGCACTGTTCAAGCACAACCAGCAGGTATCTGCTTTAAACAGGTCAGACTTGAGCCCTGCACTGTTCACCCTGACCATCAGCTCTGCCAGCGATGCTGGGGAATACAAGTGCAAAGCTGAGTATAACAACTCCAGTGGTGGAAAATACAGCAACAGCCTCAACTTCACCCTCTTAGGTACGTCTTGCTGTCCACCTTCCCAGCACTGGCTATTGCAGGGGCACGCAGCCATTTTTTTCCTTGACTGAGGAGCTGAACCTTACTGCTCCTCTTACCTCAGGAGCTGGCAGTGCTCTCCTGCCCGGGCTCACAACCCCTCCATCCTCCATGCCCAGCTCCTTTGCCAGTGTTGTCACATCTCTCCTAGTCTTGCCTGGAGCTTGTCCTGTGTTCTGTGATTCAGACTTTTCAGTTTTCTTTCTACAGAGCCAATTTCCAAACCAGTGCTGAGCTCACCAACCTCTCGGGCAAAGAAAGGCCAGAATGTGACCCTGTCCTGTTTCTCAGAGAACGGATCCCTTCCCATCACGTATCTATTCTTCAAAGGAACACAAAACATTTCTCCCCAAAAGACAATGCAGAAGAGGGAAGCAGCTGTGATTTTTCTATTTATCAATTCCCTTAGTGACTTTGGAACCTACAAATGCAAAGCAAATAACAGTTTTCCCAATAATACAAAATACAGCAACAGTTTCAACTTTACATTAGCAGGTATGAATGAAAAGAGGTTACTACTGTTGGCAAACTGGGAGCACACAAAATTCAGAATGTTTTAACTATGCAAGTTTTTAGCCAAATATTTTGATCCTGCAATGTGATATTCAAAATACAATTTCTTAAATTAAAAAATCGAGGTTTTAAAATTAATGCAAAACCATAGAATTCCATGCATCCTAGATTGCACTAGAAGTTGAAGTGACCATGGAAAATGTCTGTAAAATACTCACTTTTGCAAGAGACCCCTGGTCCACCTTGCAGCAAGCTGCCTTCCTTCTGCTGGGGCACAGAGCCCTTGGGACTCTCATGTACAGTAACATTAACCCCAGTTAATCTAAAAGCTGAAAGAAATTTAAAGTCTTGATTTTAATTTACAAAAAATACTTAAAATATGAAACAATACTTGATTGCATAAACACCTTTTTTTTTTTTTCCCTTCTTTTTGGCAGAAGAGAGAAGCCATTCTCAGCCCCTGATAATTTCTCTTGGGCTGATCCTGCTACTACTTGCAATAGGACTTGCTCTGGCAATTCCATTTTTCATAATTCCTTTGTATAAAGCAAGTGAGTTATTTGCATATCTGTTTCTTATTCCAAAGGTCATTTATATTGTCAATATATTTCAGTGTGTAAACTTCACGTTTTCAGTAGAGTAGCTCCTGGTATTTTATCATGGTGCTGAATCTCCTCTGAAGCAGCACCAGCAGCTAAACAAGACTTTGACAAGGCCAAATCTCTGAGCTGTGTTTTAGATTAAAGATTTGGGGTGGGGGAGGCAAAGCAACAGCTAATGTAATGCACAAAAACACTGGAAATTATTAAAATGCCCTTGGTTAAAGAATAATTTTGAATGTGAAAATTACATTACCTGAGATCTCCAAATATTAAAAAATACATTGAAACTGTTTATTTCTAAGAAATATTTATATATATCTATATATAAATACACACAACACATTTTTCTTTTACAATTTGCAGAAAAATTTAAGTCTACCAGGCCCTCAATTGGCCTTACTTCAACAGTGAATGCAGAGGAGTCATATACTGAAAATGAAGTCATATACTCAGAGATTGGTAAGTTCCTATAACCCCCTGCAGTCAGGAACATTTCTTCAGGTACTGGAAGGGGACACCTACTGACCCTCTTGGCAGAAGCATTATTTGAAATCCCTCAGAATCCATGGCTGCCATCATCTGACAGCCATGCAGCCAAAACTGCAGCTGGTTAAATAAACTGAGGTCTTAGTAAATAAGGGTGCAATGGCCATTTACTAACAGACAACAGTGAGCTATATGAAGCTGTAGCAAAATAAAACTTGCATAGCTCCTGCATTCTGTTCAAATTTCTTCAGTACTTTAGTTATTTATTCAATCCTTCTTAAGTTTGTCAAGATTCAAAGTCTATTCAAACTGAAATTATGATGTGACAACAAAGCAACTGACCTATGTTAAGACATTTTAGTACTTGAATTGCAGAAAACACAAAATAAAGAAGACGTTACCTGACAGCCACAATGCCCTGAACTTGCACATTTATATATTTGCCTTGAATGTGAATGCCTCTTTTCAAGGGGAATAAGAACCGCCCCCCAAACAAACAAATAGCAAAGGCATTGTTTGCAATTCCTAAATATCCAAATGGAGTTAACTGTCTCCAAACAAACCTGCCTTCCTGTTCATGCAGTAGATAGAGCTCTCACTGCCCTGCTGGGTCAGCTCAGTGCTGTGCAGCTGCTTGTGCCAGGTCTCAGTCTGCAAGGACAGTGAGAAGAGTTCTGATAAGGCCCATGGATGCTTCATGATTTCTATTCAGTATGGAATCTCACTGCTTTGTTTCAAAATTACAGAAAAAAAAGTCTGATTCTAGTTGTCTGTAATTGAGTTAACTGCTGTTCATCATCTTTAATCCAGAGCCTCTTAGACCAGAAGAAGAATACATGAACTTCTCCATTATAAGAAGAGAAGAGGAAAAAGGTGAAAACCTCAAGCTGTAATATTGGAATATCTGATGCATACAAATATGTTTTGAGGAAACTTTGCTGGGTGGAGGCAGGGCTTAAATACTTGAAATTGCTTAGAAATTGCTTAGTAATTGCTTTGTTACTATGGAAAAACTAAAATAACATTAAAACTGTTTTGAGGAAGGGGAGGGGAAGAAGGAAGAAAAACCCCAACAAACCATCCTATGGCAAATTCAACTGCCTCACTATGAAACCATGCAGATGTTATTAGTAACCACATTACTGATGTAATGTTAATTCTTCTTCTGTATATCTGTACCAAGAAAGCAATTATGAATTATGTTATTCTGGCTTTTAGCAGGGAAGAGAGCATGTTCTACAGTCTATTCAAAGATCCTCATCAGAGACTGAGTACCAGGTATGATTATATCTTTTTCTGATTAATTTAATCACATACTTTTAAAGAATTTTTCAGCCCTCAAATGTGCTAAGTTCCAGCAAGCTGCATACAAAGAGATGATATTTAGATACCAATTTCCTGGCCTAATCAGTTTATAGACAGACAGTGTAGTTCACTTGTGAAGCAAAATCTCTGAGCCATAATATCTAAGGATTTCAACTTATGAGAAAAAACAAACATATAAAACTTAGAATTACATGTAAAGCTTTCACACAGATTTAAGTTCCTGACCATTTAACAATTTTGCTAACGTAGAAACTGGATTGTTTGCAGACATAAGATAACCAAAAGGCTTTTGTCTAGTGTAACGAAAAAAGAAAAAACATCCCTCTTAGGCACTAGAGGATCTGTATTTGGCCTCTACGTACCTGCAAGGATGGCAATTTCTTAGTCCAACATACTTCAGCTCTCAAGAGTAGGGAGAGATTGCTAAAATTAATTTTGGGACAGATGACTTCAAAATGAATTCTGTATCCTGCTACTGGCTATTTCTAAGATGTTGCTGGGTTGTTTTAATACCATGCCATAGCCAGCTTATTTAGAATTCCATGAGTTCAGTAAGTCACATTATGCTAACATTGATTATATCTAGCATACATACTCTATACTTATTATTGCTGTCACAAATAACTCATTTATAGTTAAGTGAGCACCATGTTAGTAGAAGATTTTAAGGCAAGTTCTTGTGTTTCATGACACTGATGACTATCAGAGGCCATGGGCCTTGCTGCACTTTATACAGGGACTGAACAAACTGTACAGGCACTGGAAATCTAGACAATATCAGAAACACGCAGTTCTGTATCTCTGCAAAATCCTGTATCTGATTTTAACCACTGTGCTTAGGTAGAGGAAAAATACGATCACACATTGATCTTTTTCCACCATTTTGTACACACAGATATTTTGTCCACAAAAAATACTGGTCAAAAAATATTTAAATCTGTTCCTCTGTTACTCTTGGTAATATATTTCTGATTTTTTTATGTTTATCAAGTGCAAGATAAGTAGCTTACATGTTTAAGAACTGAAACCATGTGACTAAAACACATTCCTACAAACAGTACAAAGGTATGTTATTAAAATATTTAAAATTGGGAAATCTTTTACATAAAATACCATTTTCCAGCAGAGATCACAACTGTGTTAGCAATACAGATGAAAGCTGAATTTTTAGATGAGGATGGAGCACTTTCAGTATGATATTAAACCCAAAGACATAAACAAGAATATGGTTAGCCTTGCTAATAAGGGACAAGTTTTCTCTTCCCTTTTTCCAATGTAACCTGGAAGACACAGATTTGACAGAAAACAGGTACATTACGCAGTTTCAGCAGAACTGTTTGCAGAGAAACCACTAAGTCCATGACAACGCTGAAACCAGCTCAGGCAAAGATGTCTAAGAAAATCCTTTTATTCAACAAGTTTAAGTTTACACATTTTTGGCTGATGCAACATACTTAGTTAAAAAGTCTTTCAGCCTGGAAATATGCATCATTTCCTTCATGGTGGTGTCTCTGCTTCTCAGCTGGACCACTCCATTCTCTAGAGTGCCATCACTTATCAAGACCATGAAGGGAATACTCATCTCATCATACCTGCAGAGAGAAGAACCCACCTGTTACTGCTTTTGGTGCATGGAAAAAATCAGATAACTTACATACAAATGACCATCAACTGTATATATTTAGTTTTGCTATACTGCACTAAGTCCAGTGTGACACCTCCAGTTTTCTTGTTGCCATTCCAGGCTTTCCTGATTACAGTTCTTCAAATTACTTAGCTACTTTAGTATATTAAAATAATGTTATTTAGTAACCTATTAAAGGAGTATTTTTCTACAAGCAGAATTTATCTGACTTCATTTTACTGTACATGAACAAGAAATTGCATTTATTTTCTCTCAGAAAAAACCACTCATCACTATGCTCAAGATGCTTTGACATGAGGAGCCATATGCCCCAATCCACTCCTGATCAACAAATCATAACGAAACCCCCAAATGGAATAGCTGTTTTATAGCCACAAACAGTTCCATCCCATCACTAATGGCAGTGGTTCCAGACTTGGAAGAACTGTCAAGTTCAAGACTAGACACAGTGTGTTGTTTGAAAGAGTGCTTAAGAATTAAACACAGAATCACACCAGATGCAAAAACATGGGTGAAGGTGGGAAACAGTTCTGCAAGTTTATAATTCATCTGGATAAATTTGTTTTTTACATGAGTTTTAAAAATTAGCTGATATATACTTTTCATAATAAACTACTTGAATACAAGTCTGTAGTTCAAGATCCACACCTGTAACTGTACTCAGTGACTTCCTAGTGAAAAAAGAAATATTTACAGCAGTTCACAGAAAGTCATCTTTGACCTTCATAGCTTAATTTACAAAAGACTGTTTCTCCTTACTTTGTATAAAGATGTTCCAGAGACACGTGCACAGTTTCCAGATAACCTGGCCATACAGAAATTCCATTTTCTGTCAGTTCATTGAACAGTCCTTGACAAACCTGTGTTCATTTAAAAACAAAAGTTAAAACACAGACTTTGAGGGTTGAGACTCAATACAAAGAAACCATTAAAGCTCTTAACAAGTGTGGTATTAACTTTCCTAGCTGGTGTTTATTTGCTGGCTGAAATAATCTCAAATCAGAAAGCAGCCTGGCAGTTCTGTCTCCACTTCTGTTTAAAAACATGCCAGTGTAAGTTTCCTCCCTTCCACAGGGACTTCATGACTGACTTAAATGAAAACTTAGAAAAAATCCTTCTGAACATGTACTCATGCTTTAAGTAATTCTGAAATATTAAGAAGCTGAGAGGGATGGTGTTATTCATTTTCCTTAATTTTGCATGGGACAAGCATCAGCTCTATTGTACCAAAAGCAGTTGTGTTCACGTAAGGAACTGTCTGCAGTGAATTCTTTTGGCTGTGACCCACAAGCTGAAGAGTAGGAGCACCATGAACTCTGCACAACCAGGAATCTTCAGGAGTCAAAGCAGCAGCATGATTTTTCTCAATATAAACATTGTCTGAATTGTAACAGATTACATGGAGAGTCAATGCTCAAGACTGAAATACTCTCTCACAACATACCTGCCTCAGCTCTGTCGTTGGACCTTTTCCTACATCCAAGGCCACTTTAAGGGGTGCCAAGCAAGGATGAAGCTTAAGTACCTAATAAATTTACAAAAGCCATCAGATTACTAAATGTCTTTATCATGCAATTCTAAACAGAACTAGGAAATAGAAATTTGTAAAAAATTATATTAAGGTTCTAACCATGCAAAAATTTTCTTACAGCACAAAATCTTGAATTAGAAGCAAGCTGTATTTTATGTAATGAGCACACAGTCCACCTACATTCACATGGCAGAAATTATTCTATTTTGGCTGAGCTCCAGAAAAGAGATGAAGATTTGTTAGCAGAGTTCCATCACCTTGAATGGAGTCAGGGTGATGAGAGACAGCCCAGCAGGCAGCTCCCATCCAGCCTACTGCCTGTTCTTAAAGCCCAAACAACTGCCTCAATAACAGGCACTGACAGCCAGCACTCAAACTCTAGAAAGTGGGGAGAATGGTGGTCCCTGGGGAGATGCCCCATTACCACCTGTGACCCATTTTCTCTACTCTTCTCAGCCACTTTCAAATGCTGCTGGAAAAGACAAATTGCTCTTTCCCACAAACTGCAGCTACATTCTAATTTCTCTTAATTCCATCACTTGCATGGCAAGATCCTACCTACTGACCAGAGAGAAGGGTAAAGCAGGAAAAGGGGACCTCAGAATGAGAAAAATTGTTTATATGGGTGATAGGGACCACAGGGGCTGTGCCACTGGGCCAGCCTGGTGCTCCCAGTGAAAGGGTTCAGTCTGCCCCCATCGGGAAGGGATCAGGATGGCCACGTGGGAAAAGGAGACAGTGCCATGCTTGAATTTACCACATTGTCTGGGGGGGGTTTACTTATTTTCTGACATTTTCTACATGAAGTTACCTTTCTCTGAGAATTTTTCTTTGCTGTTAATGGATTCTCAACTACCTGTAGAGAATCAAAGAGATACGCTAACACTCCTCGGTCCAGATTCCCGCTCACAGACAGAACATGAGGGATGACATTCTTCCTTCCATCTCGGCCCTGAAGAGAAAAAACCCACTCTTATTTCATCTAAAATATAGACATTTATTTAAAACATTACCAGCAATCTTAGTGTATCTGTAACCAGGTAAGGCTGTAACAGTGGGGAAAGCAGGTCAGGGCAAGATGGGATTCGTTTCTTGCTCTGCCACTTTGATCTTAAATTTAAATCTATGGCAAATACACTTGAAACTCTGCATTTTCTTTTGGAGGTTTGTAGATTACTTCCAAGTGACCATGAGTCCCCACATTCTGAGAAATCCCTATGTAACCCAGTTTAGTAGAAATAAACTGCAAAAGCAGGAAAGACAGGACTGTCATGAGAAGGAGAAAGTTGCAATTTACTAGTTACAAATAGAAAGTTACTTTGGTTTTATTTGTTCAACCTAACTCCAAACATTGCCATTTATTAGGTTTGTCCCTCTTCAACATATTCAGTGGAGAGGTTTGCCTCTGGTCCATCCCTCCTTTTTCTATAAAGCCATTTTTATAACCCAATAATCTACAAAAACTTCTACATATGTGAAAGTGAACAAGCTACAGCAAGAAAGAAGACTCCTCACATTTACAGGCTCTTTTTGATGCAAAACAAAGTTTGAGTTTGTGTTTCCATCTATTCACAGATACAGATAAAAGCTACGGCACTGACAACAGCTGTCTTGTCAACAGGGTTCATTTCTTACTCTGAAGAATTCCTTGCAAAAAAAAAAAGTACCAAACACTATTTTGTCATCTTTGAAAATAAAGGTCTAAGTGCAGAGTATCAACTGTACTATTCTTGCAGCAAATTAATAAAAAGCCAACCATGTGCTAAGCAACTGGATCAGCAAAGAATCCATTTCTCTCACACATTACCATCTTTATCAGGAAAGATGTTTAATACAGTCAAGCTTACAAGTAATTTAGATCTCTCTCCTGGATACAGCTGTAGCAGTTCAGTATCACCAAGGTTCTTCAGCGTTTCTATTGTTTCTGTCCCCCAAGGAAAGCTATAATGTAACTTAAATCCTCTCCTGCCTTCTTCATCCTGAAAGTCACTGCTGCTGAAGTTAGACGGGCCTACAGCAAACTGAAAATAACAGGTATGAGAGGTGATTGCTACTGCAAATCCCACAGCAACTACAAAAAACGAGTCTGCAATGCAAACTGAAGTCTCTGATTTTCAGTAAAAGGTTTTTATAAGTTAAAGCCCAAATCTCTTGGTTGTTTTTTGGCATTTCCATCTCACATCACTGACAAACACAAAACATTTGCCTTTCTGCAAGTCATGTTATAAACTAGTAAACAGGTTTGTCATCAACTTCAATAGCTTCTCAATTTCCACAAGAAATGCACTTAAAACAGGCCAGCAATTTGAGGCCACAAAACCAACCAGGGTGACTATTCCCCCACTGAGACATAAAGGAGCAGGCCAAGATTCCCCATGGATATTCTGCTTTTACCTTTCTCCACCACTGGAGCCTCTGGCGTAGCCAGTAATCGAGCCACTGTCCTGCAGTTCTGGGAGAACTAAACCAGGCAAGCAGAGATGTGGTCCTCTCGCCTATTCTTTAAACAACAGCAAGGGCAGCAAGTTAACACCTTGGGAAATAACAGGGGAAAAGCAAGAAACAGCATTCAAAAATAATCCAAAAATGAAACAGTTGGTTTAGGTATTGTAAGGGATTAACTCCTCTATTACTCTACCTTGTAAGGTTTCTGTTGTGTTGTTCATTTCCTGAAACGGAATGTTTACTTTCTGGAACAGAATGAAAGCACACTCCAATTTGAGCGAGGCCACAGGGCAGTCTTTTGTTCACCAGCTCTAAGCAGCTGACATATTGTGCCAGAACACCTACAAAACACAAAGCCCTGTTTTTAGTGGCCACAGGAAAGTTTCTAATATTTTAACTCTACCAAGAACAAATGAAGCACATATTATAGATGTGTTGTTTGTACATGCAGTCCCACTATCTTTACTAGCACTGAAGCTTTGCAGACATGGCCTCAGCAGGCTGGTTCCTCTGGGCGCATTGATTTTAATGCGCTTTTCCCCGAATTACAGGGAGCATATTCGCTGTCCACCTGTGCTGGTCAGGTCCTTGAAAAGTACACATATTCACAGCCTACAGAAGGAACATTCCCACCGCACCAGCGCAGCTGGAAAAATCCCTTAAATGCAGCTGCTTCGCTCGCAGCAAGAAGCTCGTGCGCAGGGTGCAGGCTGAGCGGCGCCGCCCGGGACCTACCGGGCAGGAGGCTCTCCCGCAGCAGCCCCGCGGCCCCCAGTACTTCTTCCAGGGCCGGGCCGCCAGGGCTCTGCGCGCATCCCTGGAGGGCTTCGCGCAGCGTCTCCGGGTGCAGCAGCCGCAGCCCCTGCGCGCCCCGCAGAGCGCCGGGCGGGCCGTGGAGCGGCGCGTCCACGGGGAACACCTGCTCCCGCACGGGCAGCGCCGAGTCCCACCACTGCGCCGCCAGGTTGGCGCGCAGCGCGGCGCCCAGCGGCCCGAAGCCGGGGTGGCGGCCGCTCAGGTAGGCGCTCCAGGGCACCGGCCCCGCGCCGCCCCGTAGGAAGAGCCGCCGCCAGCACACCTCCAGCAGCTCCGCCCCGCCCGCCACCTCGGCAGCACCGCCGCCCTCTGAGTACGGCCGCGCCGAGCACCCGGCCGGCTCCGCCCGCTCCGGGTCTCGCCGCCGCCTCGGCTGTCCCAGGGCGGCGCGGCCGCACCAGCGGCAGCCTTGGCGGGAGCCCAGCGCCATCTTGCCGCTCCCTCACGGCGGGGCTGCAAGGGGAGGGGGGGCAGTGTGTGGGGAGGACGTGGTAGCTATTGCGCACGCGCAGTGCCCCGCGCGGGAAGCGGGGCGGTGGCAGTGGTACGGCAGTCGCGCATGCGCAATGAAATCACCGCGGCCTCACTGCGACCGCGGGCCGAAGGTCAGGGACAGTCCGAGGGGAATTTTCTGTCCCCAGGCTGATCTTCTAACCTTTCGTCATGATGCAGCCAGATAACTGCTGCTAAAGGAATTGACGTCTCGGAGCTGAATTTTCTCGCTTTTTGTAAACATAACTAATGCTGTCAGGCAACTTCTACAATAGAAGTTGCTTAATAAAGGAGCTAGTTTCAAGCATTGGGTAAGTTTACACCACACAAATAAACATAAACTGCGTAGGCAGAGAATATGCATTAAATAGGTGGGTTCTCGTACATTTTACTGTAAAAAAGATGTAACTTTTTACCCCTTGGTGTGCTTGATACCCAGAATCAACCTTGAGCCCCGTGCAGAATAAACAATGTCTCTTTTATAACCAAACCCGTCTACAGAGCTCTCTAGAGAGCAACCAGGCCGCACGTGCTGGGGTCACACCTGGCCTGCCCCTGTGGGACAGGGACGTCAAGAGCTGGCCAGCGCTGGGGACTGGGAAGGGGACGAGGGGGCAGACGCTGCCCTCGCTGTCACCGAACACGCTGCAGCTGCACGGGACGTTCCTGGGGAAAAGCCGCTCTGGAGCCGCCGCGGGGGCAGCGCGCAGAGCTCCGCGGGGGCAGCAGCGCGCCCGACGCACACAGAGCAGCAGGCCGAGCTCTGCGGGGGCAGCGGCGCGCCCGACGCACACAGAGCAGCAGGCAGAGCTCTGCGGGGGCGGCACCGCGGAGCCGCTGCCAAGCGCGCGGGCGCGGCCCCGGCTCCCCGCGGCCGCTCGGCCCCGCGCGGGTGGCGCAGTGGAAATTTCCACACTCGCTGCAGCACGGGCGGGAGGCGGGGCTGAGGCAGGAGCCATTCCGCGAGCCGCAGGCACCGAAGGCTCGGGCTGGGATAATCCCCGCAGCCCCCTCCCCCGGGCCCGGCGCTGACAGCCGATTTAGTAGGGCACTGGGTCAGCGGCAGGAGCTGCTACTCTCGCCTGAACCAGAAATGCAGGCAAGTTTAGTTCTCACAGAGTAGCACTGGCAGTAATGTCAAAGCTGCTTAGAGCTCATTTTCATTATTTTATGTGCAAATGTTACATCTTCCTCGTTAGTAAACACTGCCCCACACAAAGGGTCTTTTGGAAAGAGTGTAAAATACACGGAGAAAACCTCTT